ATGAATATTTTGCCAAGGTTTAATTTTCTATTGCAAATGTTTCCAATAAGAATGGAAGACAAGGTACTAAACAAGTAGCAAAGACAAATAACTAACTTTATATGGTCTAATAAAAGAACAGGGATCAATCCTAAGATTTTACAAGACCTGAAAGAACAAGATAGAAAGAACCAAACGTCAAATTGTATTACCAAACTAGCTTGGATTACAGACTAGATTGTATTACTGTATGGCCAGATTGCATCTATCAAGGAAGCAGAATTTCCAGTTGATTTGCATAAATACTTCTGGTTTCATACAAATAGAAAAATACAATTTATAAGGGAATTATTACTTATTCAGTAATAAGTTGCGTGTTAAAATATGGGATAAACATAGGTGAAATATCACCTCTTGCTTCAGAATTAAATATTGGTTTCCATGAAGGTAAATGTATAAAGAAATTTGACCAGTGAAGAGTTAATAACTTGTATAGACTGCAAGACCTAATTATCTATATACCACTAAAACTCTCATGTCTGTTACCTTCAACTGGGTGAAACAATGTGTCATAGGGCAACAATTTTTGAACCAAGGTACCTCAAATGGGTTAATTTACAGAATGCGTCCAAATTTTGGGACCCATGACTCCTGTGGGATTGAAATTTGGAAAATTCATGGCTGCTTCAGCACTGCTGTGCTGCTGCACCACTGTGGTCAGCCCAGGTCACGATCATCATGGGCATATCCCTGACCTTTTTCCCACCTCCCTCTGGTCCTGCACCCAACTGGCTGGCAGCAAGGCCCGACAGGTGAGTGGCGATTGGCTGCTTTGGAAATGAGGCAGAAATTTGAAATTTCTTAACATCTGTGGGCATTGAGGGAGGGATGAAGGAGCGACGGATGCCTGCTGGTGAGGTAGAGCTGACTAGGGGGTGCCAGTGGTCGATGGGTGAACCCTCTTCCATCCTTGAGGGAGGAGGCCCTTGGGGACATGCCAGAATGGGGAGCAGAAGTGCAGTTTTGTTCATGGTCCACAGCTCCCTTTGTTCCACCTCCCCCCAGAAAAGTGGCAGGCAGTTCTGCAGGTCAGCTGAGGAGGAGGGGGAGGAGGCTTCACTGGGGCTTTCTTCAGGGTCATGAGGGGAGGGCAAATGGTGCAAGCCTATATTATATGTGGAAATGGACGGAGGGAGGGAAGAAGGAATGAGGGAGGAGGGAAGAGAAGGAAGGGAGGGAGGGAGGGAGGGAGGAAGGAAGGTAGGTAGGTGCTGGCAGTCAATGGGTGAACACTCTTTCTCCCTCAAGGGAGGGAGCCCTTGGGGACATGCCAGAATGAGGAGCAGAATTGCAGTTTTCCTTGCAGTCCATGGCTCCCTTTGTTCCACCTCCCATCAGCAAAGTGGCAGGCAATTCCATGGGTCAGCCAAGGAGGAGGAGGCGGCTTCACAGGGGCTCTCCTGAGGGTCGTGAGGGGATGGCAAATGGTCCAAGCCTATATTATATGTGGAAGGAAGGAAGGAAGGTTTCTGACCCTCCCTGCCAGCTTCCCACAAGCAAAGTCAATGGGGAAGCTGGCAGTAAGTTGTAAGTTGCTCCCACTCCCACTGCTTTTTTGCCCTTGGTCATTCTGTTTCTCTGTTAGGTAAGGAAATATCTCTGAAATGATGACCCAACAGGTCATGGGTGGTCTAGTTAATAAAACAAAGATGAAATCTTTCAAGATTCTTTCTTTGGAATTGTCAGCTCACTGGTTTCAAGACCTTCAAAAAAGGAGTATAGTTTTAAAAGAATTACAAAAACAAGATAGAACACTTGGAGACCTGACTGAATTTGTAACACTGATAACACAAAATAGAAATTAAACAGAACAATGCAACATGCAACAATGGAAATATCAATAGAAGAAAAACATTAGATTTGCAGGGAATATTACACTTAAAGATAACTGATCTTTTACTGACTATATTACTCTAGTAGTGACTCCTAAAATAGATAATTCATTCTCTAAAAATGGTTGGAAATGTAATAATCAGGTCAGATCATTTTTTCATAATGGATTGCAATATTTTAAAGCCCAACAGTTTTGGAAAATGTTTTATAAAGGAATGAAACACATTCTAAAGGTTGAATTCTCTTTTGAATCTGCTATTTTTCAATTAAATATTACCAAACCACATATTCCCATTAAATATACCAAGATGGCTTTGTATACATTGACAGCTGTTAAGATACTTTGTGCTTTTCAGTGGTAATTAGCTATGACCCCTCTTGCAGAATGTGGTAAATTAAGTTCTGGGAGTACTCATCAATGTCAAAAATAACCTTGTGTTTGAAAAATAAATTGGATAAAGAATTCAGTGTGACATGGAAACCATTCCTCAACTATAATTCCACATGTGGGCTTGTACTGTATCCAAAATTTGGTTTTCTTCTTATTTAAGGTTTTAACATGTACATTTCTTTATGATTGGTGAAGTATAGATTTTTTAAAATTAGGCAGAAATCATAATCTCTCATTTTGCTTATAATTTAGACTATATGGGTTATCTTATTAATTATTGCATATTATCTTGATTGCAATAACACTCTGAAGTTTTAAACTGACATACAATATTTCAATATATAGATTAAAATCAGTTACTTTAACATTATTATTTAATGCTTTTAGATCTCTTTCCTATTTACTTTTTGCTTTCCCTATTTTTCTGCTTGTTCTTGATTATGTTTGTAAATATTTAATAACATTTTAAAAAGATAAATAATAAAACTTCTCTTAAGAAAATAGCTGATACATCTATATTTTTATATTCCAAACTTTGCCTCTGTTTTCATTTAGTATTTCTCTCTGCTTTAGGAATTGACACCTACTGAAAAAAGGTTTGTATAATGGAAAGAAAATATTGGGATATTACAAATAATGTAAATAAATAAAATATTAGGTGATCAGATCTCTACTTCCTGAAACTTCCCCTTTCCTGAAAAAGGTTTTGGGGAGATATTCATTGGAAGACTCACACTTGTGATTACTCAAATTGAAAAATGAATTAAAAGGATTAGAATGACAAGAATTAGGTAAGACACTAATAGTTCAATCATTCATTCATTCGACATTTATTTATTTATCACATTTGTATGGCCACCCATTTTAACCAATATAACTGTGGGTGGCAAACAAAAAATAAAAATACAATGAACAAACAGAAGGCAGTTTAAAAAATTAGTTGAGGTATTCCTAAAAAATTCTCTAGCAACACAAAAGCTCACACATACTGGGCTCCACTACCATTCTGTTCCCAATACTCAGGGGAAGAGCTAGGTCTTCATGGCCTTCTAGAAGTTCAGCAGGTCAGGACCCTGTGAATCTTGGGGGCGGGGGTTGTTTCACAAGGCAAGTGCCACAGCAGAGAAGGCATGACTCCTGGGTTCTGCCAGATGACGTTGCCTCACAGAAGGGACCCTGAGTATGACCACCTTGCCAGATCTAGTAGAATGGACAGAAATCATTAGACACAGGCAGTCTTGCAAGTAACCTGATCCAATGCCATGCAGGGATTTAAAAGTGACGACCAGCATCTTCAGTTGCACCTGGAAGCCTACTGGGAATCAATGCAGGTCTCATAGGGGTGATATTACATGCATGTACACCATGGTACACCCAACATTTTATGTGCTGCCATATTCTGGACCAGCTGAAACTTCTGAATGCTCTTCAAGGGTAGCCCCACATAGATCACATTGCTGTAGTCTAGCCTGGGCAGGACTAAGGCATGGGTAACTGAGCAGTGCCTTCCAATCTAGAACAGGGACAACTGATATACATGGATTTATGCAAAGGTCCTCCTGGACATGGCTGCTACCTATTCCTCAAGCAGGAGTCATGGGTCTGAGAGGACCCTCAGATTACCTCAACCAGAGTTAATGATGCAAGGTCTCCAAATTCCAGGGTAGGTGGAGGAAGCAGGGGGGACTAAAACCCCACAACCACTCAGTCTGGTTATGGTTCAATCAAGTCTTGTTACGGTTGAATCAAAACTTGTTCCTCTCTAAGTCCACGCAATCTTAAGGCATTGGGAAAGACTCTCCAAGGTATCACTTGGACTGCCCAGGCAGAGATGTATAACTGATGATGCTTAACCTGGTGCTGACAGATTACCTCTCCCAGTGGTTAATGTTAAATAGGAGCAGAGAGAGAGTTGAGCCTTGCAGCATGCCACAGAGCAGAGGTCAAAGGCTAGGCCTATTCCGCCCCGCCGCCCAAACACCAATTTGTTTCCTGTCAAATCCTATAGAACTCCCAGTGGTTATCTTGTCAATTTAATGAAGCTATACAGGTTTGATTTATTGCTCAAATAAAACTTCTCCATAATCCATACAGGGTAAAAGGTTTCCAGCCTCCCTGCAGAAAAAATAAACTGGCTCTCATTTCCATTTCTGGCCAAGCACCTTGTGGTCAAGTGCCTCAATGAGGTGGCTCTGAGTCTGTTCCCCCCCCCCCCGCAGTGGACTGTGTTAGAAATGATTGTGTCACATATGCTGATTCTGAGTTTTACAGTTATTCCACTGTCAGTGTAATTTTCTTTGGTATTTGATAATGTATTAAAGTTACTGTGTTAGCCTTGAGATGTATTAGTGGCAGACATTTCCTGGCACTTTTGACATACTCTTTAAGGACCTTTGAAAACCTTGATTTTAAATAAAACATAGCCAAAGTGGAAATTACACATATTTGTGAGTAGATATTATCAGTATTCTGATAATACTGGATTACATGCAAACCAATGAAATGCTGTTGAATGTGCTTAAAGTATTTAAGTTTAAAAGGTGATTGGGAAAATATATATTCTTTTCTAAAAGAAGTTATAACTGGAAAATCATATTGAAGAAAAGTTCCTTATATAGTTTATTAGTCCATTTTGCAAATTAAAGAATTGTTTTTTGGTCTGTCTAACATGACTAGGGTCTTACTAATTAAAAATTATATATATATATATATATTTTGTAGGCCATTTTCAAGAAAGAAAACAGAACAACAATACAATGAAGGCTATAAATCCCCTTATGAAAAACATACAAGGTACCCTTATTATAAAACATATAAGGTACCACTGATAATAATAATCATTGTTATTAATAACTTGATTTTCTCTTCTAGGGTGTGTACAATATTACTTACACTAAATCATATAACACATTTAAAGGACAAACTCACAGTCTAATCATAACTAATGAAGCAGCAGATAAAAATATAAGCTGCTAAAGGCCTGATGAAATAAGGCTGCATATCCAATGTTCCCTCTAATTTCTGACATGCCATGTGCATAAAATAATTGTGCAGCTTTTCCCAACCCAAGTACAGAAAGCACCTCCCCCAAGAGCTTTTGCTCAGTTCACACCATGGGAGTGCCAAGCTGCAGTTAAGCCAAAACCTTTCAAGCTGGCAAGCTTGTGCAGGCCTCCTTGTGAGCCTGGAATTTTATAGCGCCCAATTTTATTATTATTTTGGGAGAACTTAATATTGTGTATGCTCAACTTTTTATTGAGTTCATGGGTTTGATGAGGAATGTGCGTGCACACACCTTAGAGAGAATATAGCTCATATGTCCTGAGGTCTAGCAGTAATGAGTTGTGGTGCAATTTCTTGAGAAGGGAATTACTATTGATAGTCCTGATTTCATCCACAGTGATCTCCAAAATGTATACTCATCATTACAGTACCATTGTTGTTGAAGGCATAGTTTAAGGCCTTTTGGTTATGAGATAAGTGACAGTGAAAGTAAACAGGAAAAAAAAAATCTAATTCATGATATTGTTTACTAAAAGGTTTGCTTTAGTAGCAAAATTCATAATGAATCTTGGTAGGCCACTTGCAGAAGCATGAATAATTAAAAATGTCTAAAAGCACATAGATAAAATTCAGAGCTACTTGTACCATTGTCCTTTGTTTAGAGGGATGAGCTGGAGGAGGAAAGAAAATGAACGAATTCAGCAAGTGGAGGAACGTCTGTCGCAAGAACTTAAAAAAAGGCCGTGTTCTCACACTCGCTGTTTCACACCTGACAGCTCTCAGCAATGTAAGGTTGATATAACAGGGCTAAAGGGTTAGACTGGGAAGCCAAAAAACATTCTGGTAAAAATTGATGAGAAGGCAAACCATTTTCACACCGTTGCCTAGTGAATTGCATAATATGTCTACAGTGTCACCAGGAATCAAGCTCAGGTTAAAAGATAACTTACCTTTATGTTTAAATGTAAAGTTGGACCTTAAGGAATGACTCTGTTTTTCCTAATATTAATTTAGTAGCATTATTTTCTTAGTAAAGCTATTTATATATAATGATAAGGCATGAGTTTAAGGCATAATGAACAGACAGTGGAAGGTTAAGTCATGGTTTAAGTTCTTAATAGTCCTAAAATAGAGGTGATACTAAAGGATGAACAACACCAACAAAAATTTCAGTGAGGGGACTGGAATTTCCCTCTCAAAGTTCTACTCTCAATTGTTTTTGTTGCTTAACTCTAGGCCACATAAAAAGCAATCAAAATTAGAAGTTATGATCCATTCAGTGTCAGCATGCTCTTAACCTTAATTTATTTGCTGATGGCTTCTGTTCTAAATGACAACTAAGTTTGAACATATGGTTTATATATGAGGCATGCAACTGAGAGTATTTCTTCCATTCTGTGTAATTACTGACCATTTATAGCCCAGTACACACCCTTTCCATGCCAACACAACAGATGACATCGATAGAATATATTTTCCAACTAAAATAAACATTTCTTCCCTGGTATATTTTTTAGTTATGCAACATATACCACAAAAGAGTTGTCCACACTATTTCACTGATAACATTTAGATTTTTAAATATATGTACAACTTGAACCTCTGAAGTAGACACCATATGTTAGTTGAGTAACACATTTATAAGTTTAGGCTACAAATCAATATATTTAAACATGAGCAAAACATTAGATAACCTACCTTTAACACATGCCTTTCTACCTTGCCTGAGAAATGCAATTAACTGATGTTACAAACATGGTGAAGAAGATTGTATGCCTTGAGGTCATAAACAGTCGTAATATTTGGTATAATGTTTATTTTTTACTTGAAGACAAGCTAATTCTTCTCCAAGATTTTAGATTCTGCACTATTCAGTTCAATTCAAATGTGATGCCTTTCAGGCAACAAATGCTTAGCCATGCAACATTCTGTTGCACCTGGCACCTAATTTAAATTAGGCCCTTGGCCTCTACAACTGGTATGTTACCACAGTAATATATTATTTGTTCAGGCTGTAGAACCATGTCAGGCTCCCACAGCATGTGAGAAAAGAAGAAGTTTAGTTTAGACAAAATGCTAGACAAATATGTACTGCTTCCTTATGAAGTTCTTTTGTCTATCATCTTTATACTAGGCCCCAAAAACCCCTCTATTGACAGGATCCTTTGTCATGTTTGAGGTTTGTGTTATGGCTGTGTTATGTCTGAGGTCAATTCATCTAGCACAGAGAAATATTATAGAATGGCATTTTATGATCTATCAAACATAGTATGTTCAAAACTGCATAATTCACCAGCTTGCTTCTTTTAGACTGATTGAATTAATGCATGTTAGCATAGTTTGTACCTGCTAGGATTCATTTATAAAATTAGTTAATGTGCTTTTTATCATTAAAAATGATTCCAGAGGAGAATTATAAAACATAATAAAAATAAAAACAATAGAACTATACAAAATCCCTTAAATAAATAATTAAAAAAGCAAGACAAACAAAGGTCTTTGCATGGATTCAGCCAGGGCCCAAGAGAATATTATTGTTTGTCCCTGATTTGAGGAACTTTTGTAACAAAAACAGCCATTCCTTAAGATCTGTGCTACTTCCTTAATATCTTAACCTCTTTGCAGGGCAAGGAAAAAGTCAGTTAATTTAATTTAAGGACATTTAAGTCATAATTTTTAAATACTAATTTTAACTAAGTTCCTCACTATTATAAACCATATATTATCTGAATATACACACAGAGATTCTGAGTGCAACAAAAATGTTAATATTCAAGTGATATAATAATTTAATTCTGCTTTAATCTTTCCCACGTGAAATTAAATTAGATGAAATTACTTATTTTAAATGCACAAAACTTTCCTGATGCATTAGCTGGTGTTTATTTGGAAGAACATTGGTTTTCTATGAAAATAAATGTTCACGCTGTAGCTATTAAGACTCATAACCTTCTGGATCATTTTCACTCTGGATATGGGACCAAGTCCACATTGATCACTGCTGTGAATGACCTCTAGCAGGACCGGGACAGGGGAAGTGCAACCCTCTTGGTCTTGGTTGATCTCTCGGCAGCCTTCAATACCGTTAATCACAGTTCTTCTAGACTGCCTGCAATTGTTGGGAGTGGCAGACATTGTTTTTCAGTGCTTTTCTACCTTCTTGAATGTCAAGAGAGAGAAGTCAAGGATCAGGGCCCTCAACTGTGGTATTCTAGAATTTTTGACACTTTCTCCCTTCCTATTTAACATGCACATGAAGCCACTTAATAAAGTCATCAATTTGTAAAAAAACAGGGTTAATAATTATATTTTATTTTTTTACAAATTG